CCCCAAAACCCCAAAACCCCAAAACCCCAAAACCCCTAATTTATAAAATTGCGTTGAATCAAAAGTCAATAATTAAATTTTCAAATTATATTTAGCTTAAACTCTATATGTTGATTTTATAAATCTGCCTAGTTCTAATCTTTTAGTTGTGGCTTTAATTCACCTTAGCAAATATCAAGGCATAACATTTCATTTCAAAGTCCAAAGTAAGAAAAAGCGGTTGACACGATACCTTATTAAGCCTACGCTTAGCGGTAATGAAGTTATAAACACATAAACACTCTAAAAGGAAAGTAGACTTCTTGCCTTATTACTAACTTCTCTTCCAGATCTGGATTCTTGTTTTATAATAATAGCTGAGGTTTGCTTGCGATATACTGGATGGTTGTCTCTTGTGACATACAAACCTTTTTCCATAGAAGTTAATCATTCTCGTTGGGAAGAATATCTGAACAGGAGTTCTTTCTGACATTGACCTTTCCGATTTGACGGACGTTACATAACCCCTTTATCGTTAAACTACCAACAAAAATATATTGATATTCGTCGAAAAATCTTATATCAAACACCCAAAAAAATGTGAGAAAACAAGTTTATCAATATTTAAGAGAAATTAGGATTAGGTATAGGCAGTCCCTATTTTTGGTGCTTCTTCATATGCTTTTTAAGGTTTCCTTTCTGAGTAAACTTAGATTCTCATATTTCACAGCAGAAGGGCTTCTCTCCAAGATGCATTCTTGCGTGATCAAGGAAGTTCCAAGCTTTGATAAAATGCTTTTCACAGCCAGGATACTTGCAATGAATCACTCTCTTCCTTCTTCTTGGGCCCTTACTTTCTGTATAGCTAAGAGCGTATTGATATCCCTCAAGGATGGGAATCTTTTCGTTGACCAGAAATTCTTTCTGTTCTTCAAGCTGAGCTTGTCACGTGACATCACCACCTAACTGTACGATTCGGGAAGTCAGAGAAGGACTACAAGCAGCTTTTTTTGTCATGACATCATGACTCTCAGTCTCTAAATTTATCTGGTCCAGCGATTTTCAATTTTCGTTTAGATTCGAAAATTTTTCAAGTATATAGCCAGTATCCTGCTGGAAAGGTACAAACTGAGGTTTAGCAGCACTGGTGCTGAAAGTATTGCAAGCAGAACTGTCATAATGAGAGGATGCCTTTCAGTTTTCACCATGTGTGTAAACCTTGTTTTCCCAAGAAGAGTTCATAAATGCTGAAGTGTATTGAGCAGGTAGGCTAAGCATCGGAATTGCCTGCAACCCTTTCTTCATGAATGTAACTGGAAGAGATATGGTATCTGCCTCTTGAGAGACAGGAAGGGTTCTTGAGTGTGAGCAGTGGGTTTCAAAAAGGTGAAGATTTTCAATGTTGTAATTCATGTTATGGATTAAGATTATAATCAATTAGCTAATAAAATTTCAACTAGATTTAAATAAATTGGGGTTTTGGGGTTTTGGGGTTTTGGGGTTTTGGGGTTTTGGGGTTTTGGGG